GATCAGATGAATGGGGAGGAGGTCCCCCCTATCAGTGGACTCGGAAAGGGGCACGGTGGAGATGAGGGAGGGAGGGAGGGACTGGGAGGGAATGAGGGATTGGGACACGCCGGGATACAGAGTTAATAAAATGTAACTGATAAGAAAAAAATAAAATTAAAAAAAAAGATGATCTTTTCTAGTTCCCACCATTTGCCTGCAAATTTCATGATTTCCTTGCTTTTAGTAGCTGAGTAGTACTCCATTGTATAAATTTACCACAATTTCTGTATCCATTCCTCCATTGAGGGGCATCTAGGTTGTTTCCAGGTTCTGACTATTAGGAATAGAGCTGCTACAAACACGGTTGAGCAAATGTTCTTATTGTATAGCTGAGCATATATTAGATATGTGCCTAGGAGTATTATAGCTGGATCTTGAGGTAGCACTATTCCTAATTTCCTGAGAAAGCACCAGATTGATTTCCAAAGTGGTTGTACAAGTTTGCATTCCCACCAGCAGTGGAGGAGGGCTTCACATCCTCTCTGGCATGTGTTGTCACTCGAGTTTTTGATCTTAACCATTCTGACAGGTGTAAGTTGAAATATCAGGTTGTTTTGATTTGCATCTCCATGATGACAAAGGAGGTTGAATATTTCTTTAAGTGTTTCTGCCATTTGATATTCCTCTACTGAGAATTCTCTGTTTAGCTCTGTACCCCATTTTTTTAAATTGGATTACTTGGCTTGTTGGTGTTTAACTTCTTAAGTTCTTTATATATTCTAGATATTAGCCCTCTGTCAGAGATAGGGCTGGTAAAGATCCTTTCTCTATCTGTAGGCTGTCGTTTTGTTCTGACAACAGTGTCCTTTGCTTTACAGAAGCTTTTCATTTTCATAAAGCTCCATTTATTTATTGTTGATCTTGGAGCCTGTGCTGTTGGTGTTCTGTTCAGGAAGCTGTCTCCTGTGCCAATGAATTCAAGGTTCTTCCCCAGGTTTAGTGTGTCTGGTTTTATATTGAGGTCTTTGCTCCACTTAGATTGAGTTTTGTATAGGGTGAAAAACATGGATCTATTTCCATTTTTCTACATGTAGACATCCAGTTAGCCCAGCACCATTTGTTGAAGGTGCTATCTTTTTTCCATTGTATGTTATTGATATCTTTTAAAAAATCAGGTATCCATAGGTATCTGAGTTTATTTCTGGGTCTTCTATTTGATTCCATTGATCCACCATTCCGTTTCTATGCCAGTACCATGCAGATTTTATTACTGTTGCTCTATAGTAAAGCTTGAGATCAGGGATAGAGCTACCCCTAGCAGATCCATTATTGTACAAGATTGTTTTAGCAATTCTGGGTTTTTTATTTTTCCGTATAAAATTGAGAATTTTTCTTTCAAGGTCTGTAAAGAATTGTGTTGGTATTTTGATGGGAATTTCATTGAATCTGTACATTGCTTTTGGCAGGATGGCCATTTTCACTATATTAATCTTACTGATCCAAGAACATAGGAGATCTTTCCATCTTCTGATATCTTCTTCAATTTCTTTCTTCAGGGACTTGAAGTTTTTTTTTTTTTCATACAGGCCTTTCACATGTTTCCTTAGAGTCACCCCAAGGTACTTTATGTTATTTGTGGCTATTGTAAAGGGTGTAGTTTCCCTAATTTCTTTCTCAGCCCTTTTGTCTTTCCATTACAAGAAGGCTACTGATTTTTTTTCTTAGTTAATTTTGTATCCAGCCACTTTGCTGAAGGCATTTATCAGCTGAAGGAGTTCTTTAGTAGAATTTTTGAGGTTACTCATGTATACTATCATATCATCTGCAAATAGTGATACTTTGACTTCTTCCTTTCCAATTTGTATCCCCTTGATCTCCTTTAGTTTTCTTATTGCTGTAGCTAGGACCTCAAGTACTATGTTGAAGAGATATGGAGAGAGTGGGCAACCTTGCCTTGTCCTTGATTTCAATGGGATTGATTAAAGTTTCTCTCCATTTAGTTTGATGTTGGCTATAGGCTTGTTGTATATTGCCTTTACTATGTTTAGGCATGTGTTTTGTATCCCTGATCTCTCCAAAACTTTAAACATGAATGGGTGTTGGATTTTGTCAAATGCTTTTTCAGCATGTAAGGAGATGATCATGTGGTTTTTCCTTCTGTTTGTTTATGTGGTGGATTATGTTGATGGATTTCCATATATTGAACCACCCCTGAATGCCTGGGATGAAGCCTACTTGGTCATGGTGGATATCTTTTATGTGTTCTTGGATTCAGTTTGCAAGTATTTAATTGAGTATTTTGTATCAGTGTTCATAAGAGATAAAGGTGTGAAGTTCTTTTTTGTTGTTGTTGGGTCTTTTTGTGGTTTAGGTATCAATGTTACCGTGGCCTCATAGAATGAATTTGGTAATGCTCCTTCTGGTTCTAGTTTGTGGAATAGTTTGGAAAGTATTGGAATCAGCTCTGCTGTGAAGGTCTGGTAGAATTCTGTCCTGAAACCATTTGACCCTGGTTTTTTGTTTGTATTGTTTTGTTGATTTTGGGGGGGCAGGGAGATTTTTGATGAGTGCTTCTATGTTCTTGGAGGATATAGGACTGTTTAATCTATTTACCTGATCTTGGTTTAGCTTTGGTAAATGGAATCTATGAAGAAAATTGTCCATTTCATTTAGATTTTTCAACTTTTGTTGCATATACACTTTTCCCTTGCTGATTTCAATATGTATATATTGTTCTGTAGGTTTAGTGTTTTGACTATTATGTGATGTGAGGAGTTTTTTTCTAGTCTAGTCGATTTGATATTCTATAAGCATCTTGTATGTTTAAGGAATTTTTCTTTTTTAAAATATTTTTTATTTATTTTATGTTTATGAATGCTCTATCTTCATGTACACCTACATGCCAGAGGAGGGCATCAGGTCTTAATATAGATAGTTATAAGCCACCATGTGGTTGCTGGGAATTGAACTCAGGAACTCAGGAAGAGCAACCAAGTGTTCTTAACCACTGAGCCATCTTTTTCTTCTATGATTTTCTTGAAAATATTTTCTAGACCTTGGAGCCTGGAATCTTCTTTTTCATCTATTCCTATTATTGTAGATTTTGTCTTTTCATGGTTTTTATTTCTTGGATGTTTTGTGTTTGGGATTTTTCCATTTTTTTTTTTTCTTTGAGAGATGTATCAATTTCTGCAATGGTATCTTCCACACTTGAGACTCTCTCTTCCATCTCTTGTATTCTGTTGGTGATGCTTACCTTTGTGGTTCCTGATTTTTTTCTATAAGTTCTCTAGCTCCAGGCTTTTCTCTGTTTGTGTTTTCTTTATTGATTCCAATTCTGTTTTCATGTTTTGCACCATTTCCTTCATCTGTTTGAATGTGGATTCCTGTTTTTCCATGATGGCATCTATTTTTTTTTTTTATTCTTTTCCACTTTTTGTGTCTCTAATTGTGTGGCTATGATTGCCTGTATTTCTTTGAGAGTTTTGTTTGTTTCCTCTTTATGTGCCTCTAATAATGCGATAAGCATAGATTTGAGATAATTTTCCTGTGTTTTTGATGAATTAGCATATCCATGGTTTTTTGGGTGTTGCTGGTGAAGCCATGATGTCCTGATTTTTGTTGGATGTGTTCTTGTGCCTGCTTCTAGCCATCTGATACTTAGTAGCCTTTGCTGTTTGTTCCTGGAGCCTGCAGACTGGGTCCATCTGTCTCTGGAGTCTGGAGTATTCTTCAGGAAGATGAGAGATGTCCATCAGTTTGAGAGTGAGTGTTGGTGTTTCAGATGTAGCTAAGGGAGGAAGGGCGCAGGTGTAAGCATGCAAGGGCAGGAGTGGGCGTGGAGGTGTGCCTGCCTGGAAGGGTCAAATGAAAGGGAGAAGCACAAGCGCAGGCTGTGGTGCGAGCACTATTCCCAGGTGCAGCATGTATGTGCAGGTGTCCTGAATGGCTCAGAGGCCTGCAGGCCTGTCTCAGTATTGTGCTCCAAGTGCTCAGATCTGTCTGGGCTGCACCACCTTGTCTCCAGGAGTTGTTTGCCTGGACTCCAGTGGGAGACCCACAGAAAGAGGCTTCAATGTTGAGAAAGCTGTACCAGAGATCCCTATGTTTTCCATAGCAGGGGTGGTGTAGATGGGAGTGATCTGATGTCTGAAGGACATCCCCCCCGTGTACCCCTGATGTGGGGCTCTGTATCACTTTGTCACAGAAGCACTCACTTGTAGGTCTGTTTGGGAAGCACAGAGGTCCGCTTGCTCTCACTAGCAGGCTTGTGAGGAAAGCACAGAGGGCCTGTGAACTCACTTGCAGGCATATGCGGTAAGCCCAGAGAGCCTACAGTTTTAGACTCTCAGATTTGGATCCCCTGTTTGGCCTTAAGGATAAGGAGTCCTCTTCCTGGGGTTACACTCTCCCCTCTGCTGCAGCAGCTGTTGTCCCTGCTGCTTGAGCCAGGGAAGGTGCAAGAGAAAGTGCAGGGGGTTGATATTTGCCACTCTCAGACCCCCCTCCCCCGAGACATGCATGGGGTGGGGGTGGAGCCTGGATCTAATCTGTCCCAGCTCATGGGTTGTCCCTTCTAGCCTGGGAAGCCTCAAAGTCAATGCTCTGGCTTCAGCCACCCACCCACTCACCAGTTTTGGAGTTTCGGATCTTCTGTCCTTCAGAAATGGTGAGCCCTGGTCGCCACCATCTGGAAGTTCCCCCTCAGGTCACCTTTAATAGCTACACAATAGTTCACCAGTTGAAGAGTTTGGTTATTTATCTATCTTATCATCATTAAAGATGTGCTTTTCATGTCTTTGTGACTGTAGTGTTCTTTTGCACACCCTGACCTCTCATATGAAGTTAAAATTACTGGTCCAAAGAAGAAGAATTTCTGTTTGCATCAATTTACTCCACTGCTCATGTAAAGGAGTCCAGTACCTCCGGGCGGGGGAGGGGCAGAGAGTGAACATCCATAAAAACACCTTCCAGTGCCAAGCGCAGGTGCCTGTTTCAAGCTACTCTGTGTCTTGCAGACAGAACAGCTGATAACCCTGTGGGTCCTGTTTGTCTTCACCATGGTGGGAAACTCTGTTGTGCTGTTCTCTACGTGGAGAAGGAAAAGAAAGTCCAGAATGACCTTCTTTGTGACTCAGTTGGCCATTACAGGTAAGGAACTATACAATGCCAGAAGAAGAGAACGCTGGATGCAAAATTCCAATAGCCTTAGGAATTCTGGTAATAAATATTTCCTCTAACAAGTTTAGCACATTTATATGTCCATAAGATTCCATTATGAAAACAGCTTCTTATGTTAACACCATGAAAATGCCACTTTCAGTGTCTCTACAAAAGATCTGTGGTGCTTCCTCTTTCCTATACTCAATAGCCTCCCTAGTATGCGAAGGTCGTTTTATCTTACCATCCCATTTTTAAAAGTATCCTAGGAAATTGTCCTCAATGATCTATATTTAATGATAAAATTGACATCTCTGGTCCTTTGCAGATTAAAGTCTACAGATATTGCTTTCAAAATACAAATGATAGAACACCTCTGCTGGAGGTAGCATATAAACAGTTGATATTCAGGATTTGGAAGCTCTAATATCAGCGTTGGGAATGTCCTGTGCAGAAGTGTGAACACAGCATATCTGGAAAGGAAAGGGAGAAATACATTGAGAAAGAAACTGCACTAAAAAGAAAGGTCCCTCAGATAGAGGCCACAGTGGTAGCATGTCTCTTTCAAAGAGATAGGAAAGATCAGTGAGAGAGAGAGCACTGTTTCACAGGGAGGAGAGAGAGAGAAAGGGAGAGAGTCAAGTTTCAAGTGAGGCGCAGAACGAGTTCATAGAAACCAGACAGGGATCTAGCAAGATAGATTTCACAGGTGTTTAATTTGGATCAAATTATAGGAAAAATTATGTGCTAACAGGAAAGAATGCCCACAGGAGGCATGACACACCTCAGCATTCTCACCATGTGCTTCTTACTGCCGCGACTGCAATGATGGCAGTGATGGCAGTGGACTGCATGGAGATTTAGCTTGAGCCACAAAGCTAAAATACTATCTCCTTTTTCTTAAAGAAAGCTGGTGTGCATGTATTTCTTTAATAATGCTTCAATTAACCTTTGAAAATTTCAGACAATATATTTTAACCATATTCACTCCCTTCTCCAACTACTCCAGCACCTCCTTGCCAACCCAACTTTGTTTTATCCAACTCTATTTCTCTCCCCCTCTCTCTCTTTCCCCACACACATATAGTATGTATTAATATAATCTATATCATCTCTCTTTGTCTCCCTTTTTGTTTCTGTTTCTTTCTCTTTTTCTATCTTTCTTAAAACTCATTGATTCCAGTTTGTGTTAGTCAGCCTCTTAAGGTGTTGCCATGCCCTAGAATAGAGTCATTTTATTTTATTTTATTTTATTTTATTTTATTTTATTTTGTATTTTTTTTATTTTTCTTTTTAGTTACATTTTGTTAACTCTGTGTCCCAGCTGTATCCCGCTCCCTCATTCCCTCCCCAACCCCACACTCCCTCCCTGGTCTCCTCCCTGCCCCTCTCCAAGTCCCCTGATAGGGGAGGACCTCCTCCCCTTTCATCTGACCCTGTTTTATCAGGTATCTTCAGGGCTGGCTGCAAAGTCCTCCTCTGTGGCCTAACAGACTGCTCCTCCCCTGGGGGGGGGTGTCAAACAGCCTGCCCTTGAGATCCTGTTAGAAATAGTCCATGTTCCCCTTACTTTGGAAAACTACTTGGTTACTGAGCTACCACAGGCCACATCCGAGCAGAAGTTCTAGGTTATATCCATAGATGGTCCTTGGTTGAGTGTCAGTCTCAGAAAAGACCCTGTGCCCAGATATATTTGGTCCTTGTAGAGCTCCTATCCTTTCCATATCATACTAAATTCCCTTCTTTCATATGATTCCCTGCACTCTGCCAAGGGTTTGGTTATGAGTCTTAGTGTCTGCTTTGAAACACTGCTAGGTAGAGTCTTTCAGATGCCTTTTGTGGTAGACTCCTGTCATAAGTTCAATGCACATCCCATTTGTCTTTCTAAATTAGGATTAATCACCTTCGCCTGTGTCCACTTTCTTGATTATCTTCTTTAGGTGTGTAGATTTTATTATGTTTATCATGTCTTGTAGGTCTATATAAGCGAGTATATACCAACTTTGTCTTTCTCCTTCTGGGATATTTCACTCAGAATGATCTTTTCTAGATCCCACCACTTGCCTGCAAATTTCATGATTTCCTCCTTTTTGATTCCATTGTGTAAAAATACCACAATTTCTGTATCCATTCCTCCGTTGATGGACATCTGGGTTGTTTCCAGGTTCTGGCTATTACAAATAAAGCTGCTACGAACATGGTTGAACAAATGTCCTTGTTGTGTACTTGAGCAAATTTTGGGTATATACCTAGGAGTGGTATAGCTGGGTCTTGAGGTAGCACTACTCCTAGTTGTCTGAGAAAGCGCCAGATTGACTTCTAGAGTGGTTGAACCAGTTTACATTCCCACCAGCAATGGAGGAGGGTTCCCTTTTCTCCACAACCTCTCCAGCATGTGCTATCACTTGAGTTTTTCATCTTGGCCATTCTGATGGGTGTAAGGTGAAATCTCAGGGTCGTTTTGATTTGCATTTCCCTAATGGCTAATGAGATTGAGCATTTCTTTAAGTGTTTCTCTGCCATTCGATGTTCCTCTACAGAGAATTCTCTGTTTAGCTCTGTTCCCCATTTTTTAAGTGGATTACTTGGTTTGTTGCTTTTCTGCTTCTTTAGTTCTTTATATATACTTGATATTAGCCCTCTGTCAGATAAAGGGTTGGTGAAGATTCTTTCCCAATCTGTAGGCTGTCTATTTGTTTTGATGACAGTGTCTTTTGCTTTACAGAAGCTTTTCAGTTTCATGAGGTCCCATTTATTGATTGTTGCTCTTAGAGCCTGTGCTGTTGGTGTTCTGTTCAGGAAGTTGTCTCCTGTGCCAATGAGTTCTAGGCTGTTTCCCACTTTTTTTTCCAGCTGATTTAGAGTATCTGGTTTTATGTTGAGGTCCTTGATCCACTTGGACTTTAGTTTTGTGCAGGGTGATAAATATCGATCTATTTTCATTTTTCTGCATGTAGACATCCAGTTGGTCCAGCACCATTTGTTGAAGATGCTGTCTTTTTTCCATTGAATGGATTTGGCTTCTTTGTCAAATATTGAGTATTCCTAGGTGTGTGGGTTTATTTCTGGGTCTTCTATGCGATTCCATTGATCCTCCTTTCTGTTTCTATGCCAATACCATGCAGTTTTTATTACTGTTGCCCTGTAGTACAGCTTGAGATCGGGAATGGAGATACCTCCAGATGATCTGTTGTTGTACAGGATCGTTTTGGAGATTCTGGGTTTTTTGTTTCTCCATATGAAGCTGAGAATCTTTTTTTCAAGGTCTGTAAAGAATTGAGTTGGTATTTTGATGGGAATTGCATTGAATCTGTAGATTGCTTTTGGCAGGATGGCCATTTTCACAATGTTAATCCTACCAATCCATGAGCACGGGAGATCTTTCCATCTTCTGAGATCTTCTTCAATTTCTTTCTTCAAAGACTTGAAGTTTTTCTCAAACAGGTCTTTCACTTGCTTGGTTAGAGTCACACCAAGGTACTTTATGTTATTAGTGGCTATTGTGAAGGGTGTTGTTTGTTGTTTCCCTAATTTCTTTCTCAGCCTTTTTGTCTTTGGTATACAAGAGGGCTTCTGATTTTTTTGAGTTGATTTTGTATCCTGCCACTTTGCTGAAGGTGTTTATCAGCTGAAGAAGTTCTCTGGTTGAATCTTTGGGTTCACTCATGTATACTATCATATCATCTGCAAATAGTGACACTTTGACCTCTTCCTTTCCGATTTGTATCCCCTTGATCTCCTTTAGTTGTCTTATTGCTCTGGCTAGGACTTCAAGTACAATGTTAAAGAGATATGGAGAGAGTGGGCAGCCTTGTCTTGTCCCTGATTTCAGTGGGATTGCTTTAAGTTTCTCTCCATTGAGTTTGATGTTGGCTATAGGCTTGCTGTATATTGCCTTTACTATCTTTAGGTATGTGCCTTGTATCCCTGATCTCTCCAAGACTTTAAACATAAATGGGTGTTGGACTTTGTCAAATGCTTTTTCAGCATCTAAGGAGATGATCATGTGGTTTTTCTCCTTCATTTTGTTTATGTGGTGGATTACATTGATGGATTTCC